TCGGCTACGCGTGCGAGTTGCCTGATCTCGCGCTTGGTTTGCTGGCTCCGGGTGTGTGGCCACCAACGGCGCTTCGAGCGCCACCAGCAGAGTTCCGAAGGCAACGACCACAGCTTCGAGGACAGCCAGCTCCGCAAGGAGAGCCACCATCAGAGCTTCGAGGGCCACTCTTTCAGTTACGAAGGGCCACCGACAGAGCTACTCAGACCGTCTGCAGAGCTACGACGGCCACAAGAAGAACCCCGACGGCAGTGGCAGAGCTACGAAGACCACCGTGCAGATTGGAAGGCAGCAGGCAGAGGTAAGAGGGCCAGCAGATCTCCGAGAGGCACCAGCAGAGCTGCGAGGACCACCCGCTGAACGTCGAGGGCCACGCGCGGAGTTACAAGGGCAACAAGCAGACCTCCGAGGGTCGCCATATGAGCTACGAGAGCCACCTGCGGAGCTTCGAGGACCGCGGGCTGAGCTACGCGGGCGACAGGCAGGGCTTCGAGGGCCAGCTGTGGAGCCACGGGGTCCACCAGCAGAATTGCCAGGACAACCCGCTGTGCTTCGAGGGCAGCTTGCTGAGGTACAAAGGCCCCCAGCAGAGTCACTAGTGCCCCCAGCAAAGCTTCCAGGGCCACCAACAGACCTTCAATAGCCACGAGCAGAGCTATGATGCCCCCCTGCCGAGCTACGAGGATCACGAGCTGAACTGGGCGGGCAGCTGGCAGAGCTTTCAGGGCCACCAGTTAAGCCACCAGGGCCACAAGCAAAACTGCAACGACCACCCGCTGGGCTTCGAGGGCTATCAGCTGCGCCTTGAGGGCCACCAGTGGAGCTACGAATGCCACCCTGTGAGCTACGAGAACCACCACCAGAGCTGCTTGGGCCACCTCCTGAGCTACAGGGGCTGCCAGCTGAGATGCAAGGGTCGTGAGCTCAGCTGCGAGGGTCATCAGCTGAGCTACTTGGGCCATCAGCTGAGCTACGAGGGCAACCCGCGGAACTATTAGGGTTACTTCGGCTACCAGTTTGGCTACCAGGGCCAATTGCAGAGATCCGCCGCTAGGGCTACGAGGACACCTGTTGATCTACCGGGGGGCGGCAGGTGCAATGCGAAGGTCGCGAGCTGACCTGCTTCGGCCACCAACTGAGCTACGAGGGTCGCCGGCGGAGCCTCGAGGGCCTCTAGCAGAGCTCCCGGGGCTACCTCTTGTGCTACGAGCACAATCAGCTCGGCGATGACCTCATCCAGAAGAGCTTCTATCTCGCGATCCACTCGATGAGAGGGGACCGCGGCAACCGGAGAAATCGCAGCCACCTGCCGGGACAACGCAGACAGAGAACGCCACATGTGGAACCGTGCCATCGAGGCCGTTGACGAGGCGGGCTGCATCTCTAACGACGAATGCCACCCGTGTTGTTTGGAGACACCGCCCGTCAATCTCGACGAGCACAGCAATATGTGCAATTGGCTTGCCTGAAGCCAGCAGACTGTGGACGAGGTCGACCGCCCATCGCATGCTGCGGTGGCAGGCCACCAGCAACAACTACAGCTCGAAAGTCTACCATTGAAAGCGGGCCCTGATACCCCCTGCGGGGCCCCGCGGTTCTGGGCCAGCTAGGTGCCGCCACCCTTTTCCCTTTCCCTCCCGTGCTCCCCTCGCCCGTCTTGGTTTCCCTTGGGGGGCTGTACCTTGCTGGCCTGGCAGCTTTGCGGCCTCGTCGCGGGGGTGCAGATGGCTACGGCCATCACCTCATCCTCCCGAAATGAGATGAGATGAGGGTTTGGCTTCTTCTCTCCCTTGCTCAGGCTTGTCCCCAGTGTGCTGCGGCGACGCAGCGAAATCGGGGAGCGCGCCCCCGACACGTCCGACCACAACCGCCACTGAATCACGACCGACATCAACAGTGCAACCAACACAGGCCACCCAACCGAAAGCATAGACGAGTGGTTGGACGACGGACGGGCACCATGGGTCGATTACGTGCGAAGAGCCACACGAAACCACCATGCATGCATTTCGAGTTTGAATGGAGGAGTGGACGGCGTTGTATTTCAAACAGAAATGGACGTGGGCATCCCGTGTGGCCACGCGTAACATCGACAGATGGACATTCTTGACCCCCTCGTGGCTGCCAGCCACGCGCGACTCGTGCCCAGTACAAGGGCGGCATGGAAAACGACGGATGCGGTGGGCAGGCGACATCCGTTTTTCTCCACGTACCAAGTAAATGAATGAATTTGACGACCAGGAGCACAGCAAGGAGTGGTTACCACTTGCGACCGAACAATTCCGGGAAAACAATGGAATATGAGTTTGTGCATTATGCCCACGCGTATTATAAGCTATGGGATCTGACGTAATTCCCGACTCCAGCTCTGCGTATCTTTCCGACACCAGCCCTTGTGTCTCCGATTGCGGTTCCTTTTTTTCCACTTCCACCTTCTGCTCCAGAACGGTGACAGGTACCCAACCCAGCTGCCCGACTCCAGTTCCCTTCTTCTGAATCCGGCTTCAATGGTTGTCTGTCCAATTCCAGCTCACATCTTTCCGTCTCCAGTTCCTATGTCTCCGACCCCGGAACAAGTCAACACGTCTCCAACCCGTCTTTCCGACTTTGGCTCTGTTCTTTCCGACGCCGGCTTGAATGGTCGTCTCTCCGAATCCAGCTCCCATCTCTCCGACTCCCGCAGCTGTGTCTCGACCCCCGCTACTATATATTCAGCCTCAGTGTCCGATTCCAGGTCGTACTTCTCCAAAGTTGGCAGGGACGAAACCCAAACTCGGCAGTGTCATTTCCGACCTCACTCCAGCAGTGGTTACCCCTTTTCTGGCTCCAGCTCCTGCCGTTCCACTTCCAGATGAAGTCTGCCAGTGCTTTGTCGTAACCCTTTGTTGGGCCCTGGCCCGTCCGCGGTGATCTTTCGACGGGCTGGTCCGTCTGGCCGACGGTGCGCGCTCTGCTCCCTCGGATCGACTCGGAGGAGGAGCAGGAGGAATGATGATGACGATGATGATGTTGATGATGCTGATGATGCTGATGATGATGATGTTGATGATGCTGATGATGCTGATGATGCTGCTGCTGATGCTGCTGCTGCTGATGATGATGATGATGATGATGATGATGGTGGTGGTGGTGGTGGTATGATGATGCTGATGATGATGCTGATGATGATGATGATGATGATGATGATGGTGATGCTGATGATGCTGATGATGATGCTGATGATGACTAGGAATCTTATTATTATGCTGGTGATGATCATGATGATGGTGATGATGATGCTGCTGATTATGCTGATGCTGAGCTGCTACTGCTGCTGATGATGATGATGATGCAGAAAACTAATAAGCAAAGGGGGGGGGTGAAGAAGGATGGGGGTAGAAGCAGGAGGAGGAGAAGGAGGAGGAGGAGCAAGACCGTGTAGGACAAAACAAGTAGGAGGAGGAGGAGGAGGAAGAGGAGGAGGATGACAAGGGAAGGGGGGATGGGTGGATCGGGCAAGCGGATGCGAACGAAGAGGGGTGTGGCAGGGGGCGGAATAGATGGAGGGAGGGAACGACAGAGTGTGTGTGTGTGTGGATATTAGTCGATAATGGAACTCTGGTCTGGCATCGGGCAGCACCCGTGTACAAGCCGTCGTGGGTTGACCCAGGGGTGGCTCTTTGATTTGGTTTCCAGAGGGAAGGGGGGTGAGGGAACGGGGGCAGGATGAAGGGGAAGGTGCAAGGAGAAATGTAAAAGAAAGGAGAGGGGGTGCTCGCGTCGTGCTTGTCATCTTACCCCTCCCTCGAACTGGTGTTCTAGATTTCTAGATGACCCCTGCCGTTCTGATTTTTTCATGACGGCGGCTCCCAGATGTTTGGGGATCGGCTGTTCGTCCCGAGTCGTGCTTGACGGTCCTGGGCGCGGCAAGGACCCCCAGAAACCGACGATTGCCAAAAAGCTTCACTCGTGTTTTCCTCACGACGCGTTGAGGCCTGGGGTGGGGGAGAGGGCCTGGCTTGCTTCCCATGCAGAACTCGTTGCTTTGGCTTTGGCGCCAACTCGGGTTCGGCGGCTCAAGAGAGGGTGTTCGGCCACGGCGCAGCACGTGACTGCGGAATCCAGTTCTATTGCTGGGTGACTCGATGAGGGAAGTGGCACTGCACAAAACAGGGGGAGGTGGCAGGGGAGGCAGGAGGATGTCGAGGAAACGACATCATGGGTGGATGGTAGGGTGCACGAGTTAGCGACAGGTCCCGTTTCCATGCGGGATCGAGATGTTCCGTCGCCAAACGAGGCGGTTCTGGCTTCATTTTTCGTGGGGATTCTCCCCTCAGACCTAGGGGTGTCAAGTTCTGTTCGACCGAGAGGCCGCTGACGTTGGCGCTGGCGTACGGCTTGTCCACAGGCACTGGTGCAGGAGTGTGTTGACGGCAACGAGCGTAGCCGAGACGAGAAGAGCAGACCCAGAGGGGGACAACAAAAACACATCGTGGGGATGCTACCCCCGTCCGTGGATCCCGAAGACGCGCGCCAGACCCACGGATACGAAATTGGTGTTGCCGCGTGCCCGAGGACGATATGTGTGTGTGTGTGTCTCTGTGTGTGTGTCTCTCTCTCTGTTTTTCCTTGCCTCTCTTTCTTCCCCTCCCTTTGTGCCGCAGTTCGCTTCGCCTGCACTCCAGCGTCGCTGCACCGCTTCTTTGAGCCAAAGCTGACGCCGGCGAGGAAAGTGCCCGAGGACGAGGGGCGTGGGGTGCTGCAGCTGCTGCGGAATTCTCACCACATGGAAGCACACTGCATTACCATGTGATTTTGCTGTACTTGCTGTGACTTGGGAGAGCACGCCGCTTTGACAGCTACCTCGCCATGCTCTGCCTCCGAGCGCCGCGGCGCTCTCCACCACCTCCGCTACGGAGCGCGCCCCGGCGCGACGCGGGTGCCCTGTCCTGTCCTGTCCGGCTGGAGAGCGAACGCGGCGGGTTGGGAGTAGCATGGGGCCCCTCGATCGCCGCGCGGAGGTCGGCCGCGAACGCCTCGGCCGTCGTCAATGCCGACGTCACCGCGAAGGCCCGGGTCAGACAGGCCAGGGCCCAGCTCGCTGCTCTCCTCGAAAGGCACGGGCTTTCGATGGCAAATCGTGGCAGCCTTGTAGGCCCTCGCAATTCTGCCTTTCGAATGCACCCGTCGGTTAGCGTGTGGTAATTGATGAGATAGCACCGGCTTAGCGGCGATTAGCGTCGATGAGCGCTGATGAGCGTCGATGAGCGTCGATTCAGTGTCGATTCGCACAAGTCAGCAAGATGGTATGGGAGGCTTCCGTGTGTTGCCACAGAACAGGCTTTCTGGACCTCCCTCGCCATGAAGCAAGCGGGTCCTGAGAGACACTGGTCCTGAGGCCCCCAGCCGCGGGGGGGGGAGGGGATTTCGGGGCGTTCTCGACGGCTCTCGGTGGCTGGCGGCCTCGGGGCGCTTTCCAGCGGCTGCGCCTCGCCGATCCGCTCCCGAGGTGCCCGGGTCGTCCCGCACGGCCGCTGGAGACCCGAGTGACGACCCGAAGGCCGCACGACGGGGGAAGCGGGTCCCGAGGGAAGCGGGTCCCGCGGTTTTCGCCGTTCTCGGCCTCCCCGGGGTCCTCACGGGCCGTGGGGCTGTCAGAGCAGGTCGAAGAGCTGGTGCTGGGGGAGGCCCCGGGGGTCCAGGGCCCCGTTCCTTCGGGGTTCTTGTGCTTCTGCCAGGCTTTCTTGCCGCGGCTGTCCCCCCTGTGCAGTTCATCGATCTGAAGGCCAGTCTCCTCCTCTCTCCTTACAGGGCCGATCCCGATCCGATCGGCCCGATTCGATGTCGGCTTCGGGATGGGCCGATCTGGCTCGACTCCGACATTCCGACAATCCAGGGTGGCCCAATGCTCGCATGACGCTGTTGTGGATTCTGGCGCGACCACTTCGATCCGATTTTGCGTGCCGATGCTGCCCGACTCGATGCCTGTTCCGATCTGATCTGAATTATCCTCTCGATACTGACCGAACCTGCTCCTTTTACGAAAGGTGCATACATTTTTTTTTTTTTTTTTTTTTTTTTTTTTTTTCTCTCTCTCTCTCTCTCTCCAGATTATGTCCAGCGGTGTTTCGCCTCCCGTCGCCCATAGTGTTATCTTGCATCGGATTCCAAGCACTGGCTTTTGATACGTGCGTCTTCGATTACGGGCTTTGTCGTTCCTTCAGAAAGCAGTGATGGCCACGTTTCAGGATTGGCGCTTTGATCCCGTCGTTCAGAACCGTGCTCCCGCCCCTGTGCGGGCCACACTGGGAAGGCCCAGCGGACGGTGCCGCCGACCCTGAAGGGGGCCGGCAGCGGCGGCGACGGCGGCTGCGGCCGCGGCGACCATGACGCTGCTGCTCCGGAGCCTCTCTCGGGGCTCTCTCGGGAGCCTCTCTTGGGCTCTGCTGGCTGTGCTCTCGCCCCTGTGCGGGCCATATCTGTGGATTCGATTTTCTCTCTCACGTGGCCGCTCCCCTCCTCCTCCCTCCCCTCCTCGCCTATGACCTGCGGCCCCTCTGTCCCTCACTGCTTGCCGTGGCGGCCCTTATCCCTGCACGCTGCTGCTGTTCGCCCCCCCACCCCTCCTCCTCCTCCTCCACCTCCTACCTCCTCCTCCACCTCCTCCTCCTCATCCTCCTCCATCCTCCCGCCTCCATCCTCCTCCTCCTCCTCCTCCTCCTCCCTCCTCCTCCTCCTCCTCCTCCTTTGGCTCTTCAGGCCCCTCCTCCTCCTTCTCCTCCTCCTCCTCCTCCTCCTCCTCCTCCTCTTGCTCTTCTGGCCCCTCCACCTCAAACGTCCCCCCACGTGTTTGCGCATGTGGCAATTTTGGAGAGCAAGATGGCGGACACAACATGTTTTTCCATGCTTTGCCTGTCTCCACGAGCTCGTCCAGAAGCGGCGCCCAGTTGGAGTGTCGTCGCTTCGCATACTCTGAAGAGGCCAGCACTCGTGCACTCAGAGAAGTCGCTGGGAGACCCTCGCAGGCCTCGCTGGGAGCCCTCCCGGAGCTCTCTCGGGGCCCCTCTCCTGGGATCCTCTGGAGGAGGATGCTCGCTTCCCCTTCACCCCGACCCCTTTCAGCCAGTGCGCCCCTCCGCCCCGATCCTTTTATTTCGGCACGGCACACCCCTCCACCCCGACCCCTTTATTTCGGCACGGCACACCCCCTCCGCCTCACCCCACCCACCAGCCAGCGCGCCCCTCCGCCCCGACCCCTCTATTGCGGCACGGCACACCCCTCCGCCCCGACCCCTTTATTTCGGCACGGCACACCCCCTACGCCCCCCCCACCTCCCCACCAACCAGCCAGTGCGCCCCTCCGCCCCGATCAT